GTGCTCCTGCCCTCTGAAGATGCCGGTCACAGGTGCTGGCGAAACGTTAGGAAACAAAACTTCCAGAACACGGCCACACAGCCCGGAAGACCCACACCAGCCACAATATTCAAGTTCATGGGCTGTTTTTAAATCAACAAAGCTAGCAGCTTCAACACGTTTTGCTGCAGTGGGACTTAAGTGCATACTACGTGCTCTTAATATTTCATCAGCTCTGAAGATATTGTATTTTAATTTTCACAGCCATTGATTTTTGCCCACCGTAAGGCATTAATGCGTGTGTGTGGTCAAAGGCGGTGAGGCGTAGTCGACACGTTACTGAGATTAGCAGCGCTCTGCTTACAACAGAACTTACACATGTTTTTTTAAGAACTGAAGATTCGGTTCTAGCGGTAACGACGATACACAAGTTTATGTGGAAACCCATAAACCCAACTTTCCCTTTTTAAGATATTATCCTGAAATATTTCGCTGGCCCAGATGAGAACTGGCTTTAAGAGCAGATTTCTTCCAGACTAAACAGTAGTCATTCTTCCAAGGAAGAGAAAGAAAACATTCTAAAAATATGCTTCTATGTCCAACGGATGATCTGGGAATGATGGTCAAGCTTTGATTATGCATGGAGTAATGTTTAACTTCACCACATAATACAGGATTCCAAAGAACGTATGGTTTTCAAGAACCATTCAGACCAGAGGCAGCAATGGCCTATTAAGAAAAGTAGCACTGGCATTTCTTCTGAGAGATTTGCTGGGACAGAGACCTTAGGTGTGGTTTCCTGACCACACAAGCCAGATTCCTGTTTACTGCTGATCCTCCACTTTAAATTTATTTTCACTCTACATCTGGCCTGCAGAGGGTGCTACACATTAACATAATATATATGGTGGTGGTGGCGGTAGTAGACTTCAAGTCAAAGCTCAACTCCTAGTAATTTCAAGGCACATCCAGTTTTCTTGACCACGGCATGAGACAGGTCTACCACCACCTTCTTCCATGACATATCTCTGACTTGATAAGAAATGTATAATCATGGATTGACTAAACTGTAATTACAGTAATGAGCTGAAAAGACCTGCCAGATACCTGTTCAAAGGAAAGATGAAAGCCATTTGTTTTTTTAAGTGACACCCGTTCATCTAATGGACTGACTGAATGCACACATCATTTAAATCAAATCATCTCTTTAGAAACAGAGATCAGCAACAGTAACAAATAAAATCACTCAGTGAAAAAAAAAAAAGGAAAGAGGAGATCGCCACGTTAGGTTGGATGTTAACTGTTGCCTCATTTTAACTGCAGCAACGATAAGTTCGGTTACCGTGTAGGCGGTTTTTCAGTTTTAGTTCTAGAGTAAAAAGTGAGTGTGAAAATGTTTTTCTTAATTTTTTGTATATAGGCATGTTC